AAAATGTTTCAACTGTGTCAAGTAGTTGTTTTTGTTATTTCTTCTTGTTATTATTTTCTTTATCCATTCCCTAGTATTTTCTTATGACTGTCTTGAGAGTGTGTGCTGAGTTTTAAAGTAAAGAAGATTTAACAGTTGCTAAACTTAAATTGGAATTCATAGGAAGTTCCTATTGCTCTTGAGAGCTCTGTAAAGATGTGTTTGGAATGCATTCCAAGATGATAAATGACCGTGGACATTTGAATAAAAATATCAAAGTTGTTGTGAGAATACCTTCAGCCAAAGAGACAGCAGTGGAAAGCAATGAGTTTGTTAAGCGCTACATGGTGTTGAGTATCGCTTTAATCTGCTCTGACACTGCCATTACTGAACAAGGTCAAAGCCATTGAGGCCTCTTTGTAGACTAATGGTTGCAAGTCCTGGCTAATGTCCAGAGCAGTGCTGGTCATTGCATTGTAGTGGCTCAGATATCATTACCTCTGATACCTTACATCAAACTCACTTGGTCAAGCTTCAAAACAGTCAATAATATACAATTTGAAAATCTGGCCACTTTGCAGAAATAGAAAAGAGATATTGGAAATAAAAATGGATGTAAGATCTGACACTAAGGATTCTTCATCTTTGACGATTTATTACATGGATAAGAGGAGGGTAAGGGTGTGTGTATGAAGTGGTGTGTGGGGTGGGGGAGCCAAATTACTTTGAGTTGAATAAATGTGCAAATCATTGCACCCAGTTACTGACCCTCTCCATTTCACGCAAGCAGCTTTTACTTTTCCGTCAATGGAAATCTCATTGCCAGGAAAACGATCAATCTTAACCCAATTACTCCTGTGGAAGTGCACACACAATATTCCACTTTCACTGTTTTGGTGTGTTTGTTTTGCATTTAAATCGCCGCTGTTAGACACTCGACCATATGCATTTCAGAAAGAACCCCGGTGTGCCCCAGGCAGGTGAAGGGGAACTCTCAATTTGGACGGGGTCATGATGGAGACCTGGAGTTAGATTGCTTTGCACACTCATAAACCCCATATCAAAGTGTATTCATCTGTACAATCTTCTCAAGCTCTCTGAATTTTTTTTAAATAACCATAACCCTTGGTAACCCCTGGGGACCTCATATAAATAATCCAGTTTTAATCTAGTACTCTGTTTAATGCCCCCATTGCTGACAGCATATTTGCAGCTATTGGCTTGCACTTGTATTCTGTGAATCTGTCAGTTTACTTGCGTTTCTCTTTTACTCTGTTCCTGTCTATCACTTCTTGCCATTTAATTGCTGTATCTGTCAAGAAGTTAATTTTCTATGCAGTTTATTTAGAGCCATCTCTCTATTACTCTGTATTACCTGTACACTTCTCTTCAGAACACACTGATATTTCAGTTTGTTATGTACTGGATTGCACACTGCACATGTGAATGGTCAGAAAATTGCTCTTTTGTGGACTGCACAGTGTCCTTATGTCATTTCTGACTTGTACAGAACCCTGTGCTAAAAATGGATAAGTACGACCAGTTAGCTATGTAGCTGGATTGCCTACAATTATTTTTTTTTTACTCATGACAAGTGGGTTTACTAACTATCAAAGATCTGCATCTGCTTAAAATTCCTCCCGCTTAATAAGGGCACAGGCAAACTGAACAGACACAGCCTGGTATTCCTATATCAGCATTTGTTAAGACCCCCTTGGGGCGTTTATCGGATTTAACTCAAAATTGGTATGACAAGACTTTAATTAGAAAGTTGGATGATTTCACAGGATTGCTGGAAAGAGTTGGAGTGAAGAGCCGCACAGATGCTTGCCATTGAGTATCCTGCCCTGTCTGTAGCCTGCTAATGAAATGCACACTTTTCTGTAAATAACTGGTTAAGCCTGAGTTGCAGAAGGGCCACTAAAAGGAGCACACCCCTTGCCTGCTTGTTCTGTTTATATGGAAACGGAAAGTAACACAGAGCCCCCATCATATAAAATAAGTTACCCCTTTCCACCAAAGTAGTGGTGTAATCTTCTGGATTTCAGACTTGTTTGATAAATAATGTGCTAGTGTCTGCTTCATAGGTGCTATGCTGCCTATTTTATATCACAGGGCTGCGCAATAATCAAAACTGACCAGCTGATCTCTAGCTAAATGTGTTGTGCTTAGCTCTGTATGTGCCAGTTCACAGGGAGAGTGTATGATCATGCAGTGTCCAGCTCTCCTCTTCACTGCAATTCCTAAGCAGATTGCCAGCTCATGAATAGCCAATGCTGCCCTCCTGCCCTGCTGTCCGGCTGGAAATGAGATGTGGCATCTCAGCCGGGCTTCTCTGGACACGTCTATTTATTTGAAAGATGGGATGAAAACCGTTCTTTGGCAGACACAGCAAAACTCGGAAATGAAGCAAGAGGCATCGCATGTAACGATATGGATTCTGAGCTACAGCTGTAAATGAACAGGTTCAAACGTGACTGTCATTTTGGTGATAAAATAATATTAATTTTAAAAAGTATAATTGTCTTGATTTGTTCACTTGAAAACAGATTCTGGAATTCACTGATCATACTGAACTAAAGCTAATCATTTTCATCTTTTTAATGAGATTTCTTTTTTAAATTTGGAAAACCAGAATATCTTCCAGCATGCCTTAAGCTATTCACCAGCAGTTCCACAAATGTACTGAAAAAAAGTAAAAAAAAAAGTTCAGTTTACAAAATCTTCTGATATCATGTCTGTTTTCTCTCTAGAATCCTGAATATAAAAATGTTTTCTTAAAAGGTAATGAGTCTTGAAATCCCCAATTACAATTAAAACAACAATAATACAGCATACAAAATCTACTAAAATAAAAAAGCTCAAAATCGGTCTTCCAAAGGTTTTATTTTCCATGGAAGAAGAATTGTGTTCAATTAAAAACAAAACTCAAAACAATTAATCTCTGGGTCTGCAGCACAGAAACGCGTTGTGCCAGGAGGCCTGATCTGAGAACTTGGAGGCAACAACCGAGTGCTGTTACTAATGGGTTTTGAAATTCAGAGTAAAGCAGCAACTGAAGGACAGGGAGGTATTTGATTAGCACCAGAAAGGACCCAGTACTGAAAGGCTCCTGTCGACACATGGGTCTCCAACAAGACCTGTGGGGCTGTCAGGGAGGGGAGGGGGCCAGCGAGTGTGAAGTGTGCCAGAACTGCTGTTCACATGGAGAGGAATGGATGGGAAGGCTGGGTGATTTCCAGAGAATTTTTCTTTCTTTTTTTTTTTTACTCCAGTGCCTTATTCACTCCACAATTTCTTAGAGAATGGCAACTGTGCCATTTGTAACCTTCAAAAAAGAAAAAAGAAGTGAAATTTCAAAACTTGGCTTTAGTAAGACAGCCTAGCACACATTAAAAGGTGGACAAAATGAAGACCTAACATTGAGTTTATATTTGTAAACCATCTTTTATGAATAGCTGGAGCAAACAGCTCTGTTGTCAAAGCCAATAATGCAACTTCTTTCCAGAACTGGCTGGATGAGGTCCGTGAATCAATTAGCTACTATGACACAAATGAGCTAGAAAGGCTGAATGGCTTCTTTATTCTCTCGTGAGAATGGCAATGATGAAAAGGAAGTCATGTGCTGCTTCATCTTATTCTTAAGACCCTGTTGATCCAAATGCCTTCTAATGGTCCAGTGAAGTACCATCTACCTTTCATCTTTTAAGATTCTGTCATACATTCACCACTCTTTGTGTAAGAGGTCCCTGACCTTGCTTCGTCTACGGAGGTATCTGGAGAGGTCAGTGGTCTCTGGCCTCTGTATGAGCGCTATAATAGTTTTTTATTGCAATGAATATGAACCAAATATTAATTATGAACTAAATATTAATATTAATATTAACAATTAATATTAACTAAACCCTGTCGACTTAATAAGACACTTATTGACAGCTAATCATTCATTCTATAAGCGCTAAAAATTAGGTTCATTTCAATCCATTAGAGACATTTCAGTAGAATATGATTAACTTTCTGATTTAATTTATTACATTGTGTTGTACTCTTCATGTTCTTTTCTTTATGCTTGAACAGAAATGAGTCAGGATTTCTGCTTCCTTTTTTTCCCCCTTGACTATCAGAGTCTGTGATGCTCAGCCAGGTGTTGAGCACGGAATGATTTTTGAGGTAGCCCTTCCTTATTCCACCGTAACTAAGCTGCTTTTAAATGACCTGTAAACATGCTTCATATGCTGTTTGTACGTATAGAAAAAGTTTTGTCCAACAGCTATTGCATTAGAGTTTTTCAGTCATATGATCTTGTGCAGTAGCTACTATTAACAGTCCCTGGGAAAAAAATGTGAAAATAAAAAAAAATGTTGGTCTTGATAAAATGATAAATTCACCTTAAAATACGACAGCCGCTGTCCACCAGGTGGTACCAAACATTTATCTTTAACTCTGACATAAAATACAGGAAACATTACTTTTTGGATCAAAAACTTTTAAAGTAGAGGAGATGTTGCACGTCTTGAGTCATGCCACTGCTGCTAATATGATATCTTAATATGAAATGGGAACTAAAAGTTTTGAATCCTAAATCACACCACTGAAACCAAGCCTACTGTACTTCCTTGACTGAAGTCAGCTGGGTGTGTCAATACGCAGGGTTGCACTGATTAGATACATTTAATCTTGTGTGTTCATGTTTTAGAATTCTGTAATCTATTGCAGGGTCTGGTCTATTATGCTAATAGGTGCTGAGTGTTGTGTGCATGTGGTGGACATTCTAATCATGGTGTAGATTTTATTGATTTTCTTGGCAGAAATCCACAGCAATTTTGTTTCTTTTCAATCAAATGTAATAAAAAGATCCCACTGCCCATTAATCTTTCTTTCCCATTTTAATGAGCAATGTAGATATTATAAATACATGATGAGTTTTTTGGCTCTCCTAACGACTTACAAGAACATAACCTAGTGATACTGTATTTAGTTGATTCTGTTGCTAATTGAGTTATTTTCTGTTCCTTCTCTAGAGGAGTACTGAGTGTACTGTGGTTGAGGCCTTCTTTTTAGGTAATGTATAACATCATGCTCTCACTCATAGAGGACAGCTATCTCCATATCAGGGAGAATAAGATAGGCTGTTGTGACATCAAGGGAGAGGTGATAAAGATAATACTTTTCCCCTTTCACTACTGTACTGTTGTTTCTGAATAATCCCCTATTCACAAATCTTAAACTGACACATGTCCCATAAACCAGAAAAGAATACTATTCAGCACATGTGCAGTTTAAGACAGGATTCCTTCCTTGTTCATTTTCTATATATTGTACCAAACAATGATAATACCACAGCATATGATGAAAGCAAATCACTAGAAATCCTTTCTAAGCAATTCTCAGGACCTTTTCCTTTGTACTTGTGGCTTCATCTTTTTATCCTGAGATCAAATAGATCTTGCCTATAAATATCCAGATCTATTCCTCTGCTGATCTATACCTCCAAAGGTGCCCATACAATTTGTTGAACTAATACGTCCTCTGGGTTCTCCGGTTTTCCTCCTTCAATTCAAAAATGTACTGGTAGGTTAATTGGCTTTTGGGAAAAAGTGGCCTTAAGCGTGAGTGTTTGTGTATCCGCCCTGTGATGGACTGGTGTCCTATCTAGGGTTTATCCTGTCTTGCGCCCATTGCCCGTCAGGAAAGGCTGACAACCCTTAATAGGAAGAAGCAATAAAAAATGGATGGATAATACTTCATAGCTTTGATGATCAAATAAACATTGGTATTGCTTTAGTTTGTACAGTATATTGGGAATGAGTTATTTATAACCTATTCATAACCTGTAATGTATTAATGGAGCCTAAATCCATTGCCAGTAACCTGGTGATGCATGTTTTGAACAAAGGTCCAATTGTTCTCATATATTCTCAATTACTAAAGTGTTACAAAAATATTTTGTGTAGAAAGTGAAAAGGACAGGCAGTTGATTTTTTCAAATTTCTATTATAAACAGTATAAGTCAGATAGATGTCTTTATTCACACTGGACCAGCCCAGTCATTCATTTCTATAAATATTTTTCCATATATCCACAAACCCTGGTTTGTGAAGAATTTAATCACTTCCCTTTGCCGGAACAAAATTCATGCACAATGCAATTCTGACTGAAATACCAATGACCTCTAATGAGTGAGATGGCCGATACACCTATATGTCTTGTCTGCTGAATATAGCCAAACTGCCAGGCAGTGTCTGACAAGCACCGACTATATATTTTCCTTTAAATAATAAAATCTGGATATTTTCCAAATAGCCATTACCATTCTGATTGCCAGAACATTATGTCATTATCAGGGAATGAGTAAAAAAGGCACAGATTAAATTTTAAGGAAAAGACAGAAACTCTTATAATAAACTCTTATAATAAAAGTTATTAATAGATTCCTGCCCAGTTTGGGTGATACCAATCAGAACACAGACATACAACTATCACACATCATATAGCTTTGATTAACATAAAATAAATGAAGCCTGAAATAAAAACGTTGATGTGTGTGGTAACATGTTGGTGATTCTTTAAAACATCAGCTTTGCAGGAAGACAGTCACAAACAATTTAACAATACCCTGCTCTAGCTTACTTTAATGCTACACTCATCATAATGTAAATAATTCAATAGTTATTTGAGTGACTATTTTTTCATCTCTCTGAAGTAAGAAGCATAAGTGATGCTTATTATTTCATTTTTGTTATTTACACAATGCATAAAATAAAGCCATGCTGGATCTGTTTCTCTAGCACTCTGCTATAAGTGTGCACAGTTCTCCATTCTCATTCATTTATCATGTTGACATGAGCAGCTACTTTTGTGAAGTGGAGAAAAATGTTGAAGTCAGCTCTTCTTCGTGCCATGCTGATGTGTGTGTATATGGGAGTGTGTGTGTTGCATGGGCTGAAGGGACAGTGAAGGTGCTGTTTGCAAATTGCATTGATGTAGTCTTACTGCTGTCTCTGTCACAGTACATGAAGGTCTCGTTTCCAGTGGTTTTGCAAACTGCATAGAGTTGGTATCATGTTCAGTACTGAAGTCTTACATTATTTTTTACAGCAGTAGAAACAGGATACAAATGTCTTCTCTTGGCCCTGTTTCAAATATAGGCTAGTTGTTTTAATGCAATTTAATCAAGAATCACCATTACACAAGGTGGGACACCTACACAGTTGTATATTACTTAGCTTTGATGGTGAAGCCTTGATCTTTTCTGGATTGCCATTTCTGAGCCAGGCCTTAAAGGGTCCATTGGATCATAACAAATATCTGGATCTGTGAGGAGCACAATATTCATTAAGTGTGTCTGTTTGACAGAAGTTTGTCTCTTAGAATAAAAGAACATATTTAAAATTAAGTGAAACAAATCACATAGTAAACTTAACTCCGTTGATGTCTTGTCAACATTTTTGAGGCTGATATGCCAAAGACTGCACAAGTTTTCAGAACCCACTGTACTTTGAAATAATAATGTGCAAACAAACCAAACTTGAGCATCAAAATTCCTTCAAGTAATTTATTGTTTTTGTAGTCAACAAGAGGGAAATGCAGTACATCTTTTGGTTTTTCTCTGTAAATTAGGCCTACGGACTTTAGCAAGAACAAGTAAAAAAATATGTCTAACCAGCACATTACATCCATTTTCCCACTGTCCTACCAGGCCATGTTTTCTGTTTATCTTTCTTCTTTTATAAAACTTTATAAAAAGAGGGAAAAAAATTGTTCCTAACTCCCGATGGATTTGTTACCATTTTTTTTGCTGATCGGTTTTGCTGTTAGATTTGTATTTATGATAAAAGCCGCTTGTGGCTCCCTGCTTCATTCCTCTCCCTGCCAGGAGGGGGGTTTGACTGGTCTTGTCAGATGGTTCTCTCACTCGCTCACAAAGGAAAGCTTTCTGAAGTCTCTTAGGGGGACGGATAACATTCTTATTTATCTGAAGTGCTTCTCTGACAGTCCAGGAGGGTCAGCTGAAAGGAATATGACATGATATCGATGAGTTTCCAATCTCTGTGGCAGTGTCAGCTGTTTCTGCTTCAGTCGGAGTTCACATTCCTGTTGTTGTTTACGTTTGCAATGCATCGATTTTCTGAATTCAAGAGTCAAGGAGGGCTTTTTTTATGCTATGACGAGAATCAATTTATATATTTCTGCTTGTGTGCACCATTCTATATTTATTTTGTGTGTATGTGGGTTTTATTCCTCTGAATGTCATGAACAAATTATGTGGAGGAGATTAACAGATGAAGGCACTTTATTAATACAGCTGCCTCATGTTACATGGAAGTGTGGAATGAAAAATCTTCGAGTAGACTCATAGTCGTTGCACATGTTTTATTTGTGTTCCTTCCCTGATTGATTGGGGGCACACATTCTGTACTGCTGAAAGTTGGAGCCCAATGTTCTGAACTGTATAATTTCAGCCTAGGGTTTCTAATATAATGTGCATGATAGGTTCCAACAATGATGATGATTAATCAGTTGAGAACATCTACTGTACATGCATGTGTGTAGTATCTCATAATGAATTATGCCAGTACAACTGCCCTTGAAGTTAACCTTTCCTTGAATTTTTAGGTTTGTATAATCTAAAAGGCTTCACATGGGCTAATCTGCCTCACAGCAATTATTTGTGTTTGGCAGAGTTATAGACCTAGGTGTACAGTATGAGTTTTAAGAATATAGGTTTTGGAAAGAAAATGTATCCTAACTGTAACAGACCAATAGACATGTTTTGTTTTGTGTCCATTTGGTTTCTCAACAGACCTGCTCTAAAATCGAACAGGTGACCTATTGGTAAAGCACTTCATATGTCAATAAACAGTGTGCCCTATAAATCACACATGAGCCTGGGCTCCCTATAGAGTTTACCATGTTAACCCCAACCACAACCTTCGCCAGTCCCCTTTACTCAAGTCAAACCAATTACAATGAAAGAAACAGATATTTGACTTAAATGATTAGAATTGGAATTACTGTGTTGTACCACTCCACTGAAAAAAAAGAAAGGATTTGTCAACATTTTGTATACCTGTACAGTTTAGAATTGCTAGATAGTTTATGGCCAGAATGAGAATGTTCAAATATGCTTCACTGACACATCTCTATCTTTGGGAGCTATTCACCTTTTGACACACCTGAAGTTTTCCATTTCCATTTGGAAGGTGAGAGAATGTCCCAGTCATTGCACTCCATTTCAGCGAGTATGAACTACCAGCGTCTTCACCAACCTTTGTAATAGCTACAGTAAGTTACAAAATTATTCATAATTAACCAGTATAACTGAGTAGGGTTTGATGAAAAAATTCAAATATTTATTCCGTTTTTTTTTATTAATTAGCTTGTAATTAATTTATTAAATCAAGGGATGGGCACACTCCTTGTTAAGATTTGCTCAAAAATAAATATAATTTATGCACTTATTTATTGTGTCTTTTAGTCATCTGGTAATTTCACAAATCCTCAGACAGCATATCTAAGATTTTAAAAGTCATCTTGATTGTTACAGTGGCAAAATATTCTGAACATAGAAGCAAAATAATAAGAATATTACCTTGTATTTAGAAAGGGGCAGTGAAACAACATGTGTGATACTGTATGAGCTGTAGGTCACTGGCTAATTTTGGTTAGTTTGGTTAACCAAGTTTTTATTCTTAATAATAGGTGGACACATGATTTAGGTTTTATTCTTGTAGCATTCAGAAGTCCTTTTGCTTACAATGAACCCAGAAGACTAGACTTCAGGAAGAAATTACTGTACTGTATGTTGGCATACAGAAATATTCAGCATTGTTTATTTTTCTTAATATATATTGTACGTATGACAATTCCTTGATACACAGTGTTATCAATCATACTGTAAATATCAATCAATTGTGTATATTTACACATAAGAAAATGTGTATATTTATAAGTGAATGAGCTTTGAAATTTTACCACCATAACAACATGCCCAATGACTGGCCTAGCTCTACCTACATGGGTTGTGTAAATTAACCTGTTTTTTAGACATTCAGTATCAT